ATCACGCTACTTTTACCCCCAACGTATCCCTTGCGCGTCGCACCCCTCTTGATTCACTTTCACTCGGCAAATAGTTACCTGAGGGCTGTGGACGTAGAGAAAATACATAAAACGTTGATGGATCTATGGGAAGAAGACCTGGATGCTGGCACGGGAACGCTGTGGAGAACCTGTGAATGGTTACGAAGCGGTACATTCTTAGAGGATATTGGACTGGCAGAGCCCCTTCAGCCAATCCGGTGCGTCGTATATCTTGTGGATCTTTCACGATCTCATTCCTGAATACTCTAGACTCGTTCATCCGCGACCAGTCTTATTGGCGGAACGGCTAAAAGAATATAATAATACCGTCAAGTTTAATACTTTTTCACAATCTAAATTTGACTGCCAGATATGCCTCTCTTCCGTAAAAGGGGCTCAGTGCATCCGCCTCGACTGCCTTCATGTATTTTGCAGACCTTGTCTAACCGACTTTTGGTCACTTTGCATTGCGGAGGGAGATGTCGATCGCGTCATGTGTGCCGATCCTCAATGTGTCAAGGATGGCAGACCGGTGACAGAGGATGAAGTTCTACGGGTAGTCTCGGAATCAGAGACACGAAGATGGAAAGAACTCAGGAGAAAACGAGCATTAGAAAAGGATCCTGGATTAATCTACTGCCCCATTGCGTTCTGCCAAAGCCCGTGTCCCACACCGCAAGTTCAACGGGATGCAAAGGACCGAGACTCTGAAAGTATGGACGACGTCGCCATGCGCCGGAAATATCTCAGCTTGCGTACATGTGACAATTGCGAATTTGCATTTTGTATTCTGTGCAAACGGGCATGGCACGGTTTGGCTCCTTGCTCTAGTGACATTACAACTCGATTCCTCGAGGAATACATCTCCCTCAGCGATGACGACCCCGAAAAGTTGGCACTGGAACTACGATTTGGAAAGGCCCAGCTCAAGAGGCTTGTTGCTGTGTTCCAAGAAGACCAGGAGAACAAGAAGTGGCTCAGAGAGTCTACTACACAGTGTCCACACTGCCAGGTTTCGGTC